GAGGCCTGCCCCGCCCCTCGTCTCCCCTGCCCAGCCCTGCTATTGCAGACAGAAGTGGGGTGGGCCAGGTCCACGTGGCCTTGCTGCTGCGCCTGGCACCAGGTGGCTGCATGTACAGGTCTTATCCTGCCAGCTCCTTGTGACTGTCCACAGGGCAGAGCGAGGCATGAATCATTCCTCCCTGGGAGCCCAGCCCTTGTTCAGGCCATGCAGGAGGCCCCCTAACCATCCTGCAGCCACCGTGGGCCCAGTCAGAGTCCTAGCAGGCAGTACCTGATGGTGGCACACAGTGGGGTGAGCAGCAGCAAGGCCTGCCCTGCCTCCTCCCTCCCACAGCTGCTGCTCTGAGGCCTGGGAAATGTGGATCTGAAACTTACTTGGAAAGGAAAACTCCTGCCAGTGGCAGGAGGGTGCTGCTCCATGCAAAGAGGGTTGACAGGCAAGGGTGGCATGGGCAGGGGCTTGGGAGCACCAGGGTCCCTGCTGGGGACCTCCTCCCTGGGCCTTCCTGTGGGCTCCGCCTGCCCCTCCTGACGTATTCACATTGCTATCCTCCAGATGCACACCTTGGCTTAAAATCCTGCAGCCAGAGTGGGGGGCCGGAGAGCACTCAGAACTGCTTAGGCCCCCAAGGAGCTCCATGAGGGGAGACAGCATCATCAGTTACGACACGCACAGGGGACTCAGTGAGGCTGTAGGGTGGGCCTTTATCCAACATGTCCTTACAAGAAGAGGAAATGTTGGCCGGGCGCAGTGACTCACACCTGTAATCCCAGCACTTTGGGGGGCCAAGGTGTGTGGATCACCTGAAGTCAGGTGTTTGAGACCAGCCTGGCCAGCATGATGAAACCCAGACTGGCCAGGCGCGGTGGCTCATACCTGTAATCCCAGTACTTTGGGAGGCCAAGGCGGGTGGATCACAAGATCAGAAGTTCAAGACCAGCCTGGCCAATATGCGAAACCCCGTCTCTACTAAAAATACAAAAATTAGCCAGGCATGGTGGCTGACACCTGTAATCCCAGCTACTTGGGAGGCTGAGGCAGGAATCACTTGAACCCGGGAGGCGGAGGTTGCAGTGAGCCAAGATAGTGCCACTGCACTGCAGACTGGGCGACAGAGCAGGACTCCATCTCAAAAAAGCAAAACGAAACAAGAAACTCAGTCTCTACTAAAAATACACAAATTAGTTGGACGTGGTGGTGCCTGCCTGTAATCCCAGCTGCTCGGGAAGCTGAGGCAGAAGAATTACTTGAACCCGGGAGGCAGGTATTGCAGTGAGCTCAGAATGCGCCACCGCACTCCAGCCTGGGTGACAAGAGCAAAACCCTATCT